ATGTACCAATTTCATTATGATTTTATCAAACACAAATATAACAAAAAGTAAACCTGCTCATGACAACAAAAACAACAACAACAATAATAATAATAATGATAATAATAACAACAACAACAACAACAACAATAATAATAATAATAATAATAATAATAATAATAATAATAATAATAATAATAATAATAATTTCTGAAATACAATGATTCAATATACATACACACAAGTGAGATTAAACGTGCACAACATATACATCTTGGTTCGTAAGATGGGAAGGCAGATGAGGTATACAAGTTAAAATATCTTAATTTATTTGAGCTACGACATAATCAGAGAAGAAATTTGTGAACGGCATGACTCGGGTGAACAGATGTTGATGTCACCACCGACGATGTGAGATCAATTTTAACATTGACATGATAATTAAATAATACATTTATTTTCGCAAGATTAATCAGAGATTTATTTCCATTATAAACAAATAGGTGTGACTGCTGTCGCGTACACAGCACTGCGACTGCGCACGTGCCGAAAGTCTTCATTCAGACTGCTTATCTTCTGTCAGAATAGCTGATATTAAAAGATACAAATATGTTTGTAACAATGTGTTATTACTTAGGCTTTTAATGTTGAGTAAAATTGTATTTAACACATTATTGTGTCCTTGTAAGAGTTAATTAGCGCAGATATCTGAAGCGAGAAACGAAGTCATCTTGTACACCAGCATATACATTCATGATCAAACATACCTTTGCAAGAACATTGACACTATAATAGCCACAACTATTGACTGCATTAGCTGTCATCCCTACCAAAAGATGGCACTTTGTGTGATAACGTAGTAATTGCATACATTTTCATGGTTTTAAACTACTTATCTTGTATCAGATCTTTAATGCACAAACTAACACAATATAATAAATATAATAATCTTTTGCGATTTAAAGATTTAAGAGCAATACGGATTACTTGTTTCAAGTAAGCGGTTTCTATCTTTTTTTCATGTTAAGTTCATATCATTTTAATGAAGTCCATTCTTCCATTGGAAAATATGCATTCGATCTCAATTGCAAATACTGAGGATATAAAATACACGTTTCAGGTAAAAAAAATAAAAGTTTCATATATTTTCTTCATTTTCGACAAATCGTGTGATTCTAATATTTCAACAAGGAACTAAATGCGAAAAAGAATAAGAAAATTGAGAGATGGTACATAAAACTCACCCACACCGTTCTGCCGTCATAAACTTAACGGGGCCGAAAGACGGATAGGTCCTATAATAAAATATCGTGGCCCTTACGTTTCTTAATGTGTGCGTGCGTGTGTGTGTGTGTGTGTCTGAGAGAGAGAGAGTGAGAGAGAGAATAATAAAATATCGTGGCCTTAACGTTTCCTAATTGATAGAGAGACAGACAGACAGTTTATCATTTTATTGATACTATAGAGTAGAAGACCTTATATGAATCGTTGTTCATCAAGATATTTAAATAAGACCAGAATGAGTTATAATTACATGAAAGGAATATATAGGCTGTATATGAACACTATTTCAAAAGCCGCGTAACTCGGTTTAAAGCTGACATACTATACTATTAAGGAATGGCTTTCGTGAGTGCTTTCAGACACCAGTGTCCATATTTGGTACGAGTTCTGTACCTTAAACAAGTTCTATCTTACCCGATGAACACGCTGATACAGAACAACCATAGAAGAGACGATTTTTTTTTAAAATCACTTGCATGGGATTTTAAATCACTTGCATTGGATTTTCGCTGGCTTCGCCTTTGTCTTCTCATAATGTGTGGACAGAATTTAAAGGCTCTATTTTTAAGTATTTTATTGGGGCTACTAGTGGCCGAGTGGTCCAAAGTGCTCGCCTTTATCGATTACTGCCATCTTACCTCTGTCAGCATGCGTTTAAATCCGAGTATGTATGTCAGAAAGCTACCAGTAGCTTACCTTAGGTCAGTGGTTCTTACCGGGGTTTCTTCGAGTTCTTTCTCCACCAGTTATACTGATGACATTATATCTTGCGCTGAGAAATGGCGTTAAACCCAAAATAATAACAGCGTACTTTGTTGAATTTCGCCATAGAAAAATATATAGAACCGGCCTTGTTTTCGTATTATTATACATCATATAAATTTACTGTCTTTGTGTCAATTACTTTCTTATAAAATGCGCTGAAGCAAAGTCATGTTTTTAAGGTGGCATAAATAATATAAATTACGTTTGTCTTGACTTAAGCCCAGTGTAAATGTTAATGCGTGCGTGGTTGTCTCGCACGTAGTAGAAGAAAAATAAACAAAATCAGCGCATGTATAAAGGATAAAGATATGTATTTCTCATTGGTTTATAATTATATGCTGTGACGTTTTTTCTTGCCTGGAAAAGAATAACTTCAATATATATTGTACCTAGGGTGAGCAAGAACAGATTGTCTTGCCTAAAAACGAGTAACGTCGATTATTATTCCACTGGTGGGAAAAATATACTTGCAGGCAAATTTCTATGACTGGTAGTGACGATAACATCTATCACGTACTCTATACATAAGTACGCTCAACCCAGTTGTTCTTGCGGCTACACGTAGTAGATATTGAGTCCGTGTATTTCATTCTGACTTACCCCCAGATTATTGCTATTTACATTTATAGAAAGTCTAGACATCATCTTTATCATGATGCACTTTACATTTGTATATTTAACAGAAAGTTTATAACTGTATAGTGCAAAGCGTTCACATTTGACTTTTTCGTAGAAATCTTAGTCTTTGTAATGGACTTTTTGAAATTTTGTTTACAAATATTTCAGAAGAAAAGTTATTGAACTGTTTCGTTCTGTTTTACAACTGCTATACACTATTCGAAGAAAAACATATTCAACCAATAAATGAGTAGACACATTAAAAGCGCATCCTACTTGTGCTACATTTTTCTTGTCTTTTTTAAAATAAAAATAACTGTCTCCATTCTCTTCAAGCTTGTACTCTAATTTACATTTATTGAACCATAACCTCTGAGATTCATGTAATGTGCACAACCCGACCACACTATATAATCCTCAAAATATAGAATTTGTTATAATTGACAATCAGATATAGCATGTAAACAAATCATGACACTGCTGTACTCAAGCAAGGAGATTACAAATATATTCCTTGAATGTTATTTTTTGTTTTCACCAACTTAGAAATATGATAGTATGTATTTGTGCGTGTGTGTTTTTAATGCAACTTCAAAGTTTATGGAATCTCTAGAAATAAATAAGAAAATTGTATATTGGCCATTGTTTACAAATGTTCGAAGAATCAACTGCGCATTAATACAAATATAGTTACTGTCTGTGTTCGATTTAAACCAATCTAAGATGTTTCTTACGATGGCTTTTTCTTTTTAAAATTGCAATTATTATTAAATAATTGATCAAACCAGAAGAAAAAATGTTTCCCTGTACATTTTCGCACTTTACATAAGGTTAGATTTTTAAATAAATACAATTTTCCGTGTTTTTCTCACTGGTTATCCTGGTCAGTTAAACACAGACCTTGTATATCTTAGATATTTTTAATATGACTTTTAAATCCCTTTATATTTGTGCTTGACTGATGCGTGTAATTTGGGTTATAGAGTATACCGTTTTGGTTATAGAGTATACCGTTTGGCAATAGTTTAGATATGCACCTTTCAAAAGACATCTGGTAATTTTCTATTGCTGGAATTTAAAAATAAATTTAAAAAGTGAGAGCCAATACATATTTTATATAGCTTTTTGTGCATTTTAAAGTTCAATTATTGCACTTTCATAAAAGCTGGCAAAATGAATCTCTTTATTTTAATAACTACAAAAAATAGTGTATGCTGCACTAGTTCTGGCTCTTGTTCTGAGAATAAGCCGTCTGCTTTAAAAAGCGCACAGTTTTCATATATATTATATGTATAGGTATGCCAACGTTCTCATCCATTCTTAATTTTTCAATGCAATCAAGTTAAACTTGTTCATCGGTACGTAATAAAATGGTAGCCAAGATCTGAAGTATACAAATGTCGTCCGAAAGACTCGGGGAAGGCTTTGAAACTAGGACTAAAACGCATCCCGCTTGTTCCACTAATCCTTGTATAAGCAATATTGTCCTGCTGAACCTTGATTACGTAATCGAGAATATATTTCGAATGGATCCAATTTCTTGAACAACAATCCCGAATTCCATGTTTTTCTTTAATATGTGTAATTTGGTTGAATAGATTCATAACGTTATTTATTCTTGTTATGCTATGTATTCGTACAGAACAAAATTTGATTTATTGATTTCTAAAGATTATCTATATGTTTGTTTAGTGTGCCGAATACCTTTTAAGAAATGTGGCCTGTGGCACGACCGACTTCATCACAACAGCGACGTCTCCACAACAAATGCAATAAACACAGATCTCTATTCCCATCTGTGTCCTTAAATACTTTTAGTAATGTTTTTGTCCTTCTTTCGTAAGATATTTTTGTGCGTACATATATAAAATAGATTTATCGGCACACAGAAGAAGCAATGCACTCAATTCAACATAAGCATGCATATCTAAATAGTGACTGGTGCACCGTAGTAATTAGTATACATACACTAGGTGCACCTGTTTGGTAAAGTAAATGAAGCTGAAAACATTGGTGGGCAGACAATACGCAAATAATCACGTTAGTGTGCGCTACAAATAACAGCTTCAGACAGTAACCTTTACCTTGCTATGAAACTCGGTTCAGATGAAGTGGGGCAGTAAGGACCTTAGCAAACGCAAGGCCTGATTTTGATTATTTTGGCGGGGGCCCCTGGATTTACGCGCAGGGCAATCTGTAAGCATAACATTTGGAAATAAACTTTTAAATATGTAGCATGATGTGTCACCCAGTCACATTATCCTGACACCAGGCCGACCAGTCATAACAATAACCTCTTAATGCTGAGCGTCAAGCTAGGCAGCTGTTAGTACCATTTTTGTAAGTCTTTGGTATGACTCGACCGGGGATCGAACCCACGACCTCCCGCATACAAGGCGGACGCTCTAACCACTAGGCCACCGGGGCGATTTGAGTGAGTTGTAGATGACAGACAAGAGTAATCGATCATTAATTGTCTCGGGGTATGAAATGATTCATTATTCTATGAGAAAATTTGCCCTCTCTGAATCCGGCTAAAATTTACTTACTTCATTTCATATAAGTATATTACGAAATCCAAACCGGCGGCAAACAGAAAAATTAAAGTTTGTAATCCCAGGCAGCCATATATTTTAAAGTAGATATAAACATAATATTTTGATGTCTTTCATGTTTACTAGCCAAAATCGGTACAGAATCTTATTGCAGTCAGCATATGCTAGAGGTCTCGAACTCAAGCCACACTGAGAGCCGCATGACAGCATTTTCGATGGCTAAAAAGCCGAATCACCTTTGTTATCTCTCCTAACACTTTGTGACGCCCATCATTTTGTGGGCCACATAGTACGGCATGGCGGTCTGCGTGTTTGCCACTTACCTATGCGAACAGGATATATATATATATATATATATATATATATATATATATATATATATATATATATATATATATATATATATATATATATATATATATTGCTCTGATGATGTAGCATTCCGAGAACGAGAGATGTCTGAAGAGTTCTCTGAATACTTGAACACTTGAACCGAGGCTACGACAAAGGCCTGAAGATCTGATAGCGGAGGCAACCCAAAGGGCTAAACAAATATTAATGACTTACCAAAATATCGAGAAAAGAAAAGGTTTATAAAATAAAATTTATCTTAGTCTACCATCCAGACAAACATAGAGTGAAACGTTCAAGTTGATCCTCCTGAACAAACAAGTACCTACCGTAGACGAAAATTTTCAAATGCAACCGTTTCAGAGTCGAGCTAGCGCGAAGTCAAGACGATCCTCACAAATCTGGTCCCTGTGTAGATAAAAGGTGAAAAACTTGTCAACACATGGGAGAAATCCAGTACAAAAAAAGAGAGTGTAATTTACTAACTCCATGCAATATCTACGGCGTTCAGCATTTAGGAAAAACCGAAAAGCTACACTAAAGGATATGGAGGGGAATTACCGCCATAATTCTATGCATGTATTGTTTAATCTTCCTTGATGCATTATTGTCAATGGCAACTGATACTTTCGTAATTATGTCCATGTATATTGTATTCTTCATTGATGCAAATTGTACGCGGCAACTAGCCAGTGCTACTTTCCTTCTGCATTTTTGTCAATTGCTGCTTGCAACTCTACATTCATAATTCTTCATGAATTTTCTATTCCTCATTGATGCAAGCTGTAAATGGCTGCTTACAAGTGCTTAGACCTACTTTCTTTCTGCGTCATTGTATCTTGCAATTGCCAACTACTGAATTGATTACGGTGTTGTATGGCAAATGCTAGGTCAGTTATTACAAGTTTTAATATTCTATTTATAAACTTGCTATATCACAAGTTACACAGATTGCATCTTCTAAAATCATGATTATAAAGTAGAATCAGGCGCTTTGCAAGTTAGCATAAAAAAATGCCCCATTGTGACAATAGATGGCGCTGTTACATGTCAATTTCTTACACTAAGACTACTCTCCTGTCCCTACAAAAAGAGGTTTTACCACTTTACGACATGTTTGGACGTCTTATTTAAAATATCATTTGAATTATATTACCTCATTACATTTAGCTAAAGAGAGGTGGCCTGCAAGAAACAAAACAAATTAAATGTATAAAAATGTAGACAATTTGATTTATTTACACAATATTTTATTTCCGCTTACCCTATCTCCTATTGTTATTTGGACATTATGTGGATGCACTTTACCGCTACCGCACGATAACATAATATGGTAGCCGCTTACAAGCAAGGATTAAGTTCCTAATTTGTTTATATATTCTCATTCACGATGTTATCAATTTAGAGCATGTTTGTTATTTTAGAGTGCAGTGCAAATTCTGATTTTTGTATCAGTAAAAACCTCATAAGGTTTGGCACCTAGATGATATACTTTCTCTTTCTTGTGTATGAGAGAGAGAGAGAGAGAGAGAGAGAGAGAGAGAGAGAGAGAGAGAGAGAGAGAGAGAGAGAGAGATGTTCAGTTTATTCTCTCATCCATATGATATTTAATTTTTACTCATATATATATATATATATATATATATATATATATATATATATATATATATATATATATATATATATATATATATATATATATATAAGCAAGGTAAATATTAAAATTATACATAATTCTTATGTATGTCATGAATGATTATGCAATAGCCAGCAAGTATTGTCACTAGTTGTCTGTGACAAGTAGCTAGAAACCCAATTTGATTTTAAATCTCCAATTCCTATACAACAACAAGAGGCAAGTTGCTTGAAAGAAGTACATCACATACAGTGTATATACAGTAGCATATCTATATGCTGTAAAATTATAAACTTACTTCATTATGTAAGAAAAAAGATTCTAACAATATGAAATATATTTTTCAATATCTAAACATAAAGAACGTTTGCATACGAGTATGATGAGATGCTTTATTTCCACAAATAAACTGGAAAATACATTTTTTGATTATATAAAATCATGTTCATTAATATATGAAGCAATATTTATAGCATGGACAAGATGATTGATTGTATTCACTGACAAAACATCAGACTCCTTTGATAGCAAGTATAAAAAATATAACATACTGAATATAAATAACGTTGCTACCGCTACCAGTAACCAGCTCATTTTTTTTTAAATTATTGCTACAGTACGTGCTTGATACATTTGAATATGAAATTAATGTAGCAGTTAAAAAGATTAATACAAAGTTATACATGTATCTTCTACAGATGTGATTTTTTTTATTGAAAGAGTAAGACATCCCCAAATTTAAAAAAATAATTTGTTTAAAGGTTACACACAGCTCAGTTTATTGTAGCATCTCCACCCCTGCATAACCATCTTCATTTGTCTATTATTTTATCAGTTTATTGTAGCAGCTCCACCTCTGCATAACCATCTTCATTTGTCTATGATTTTATCAGTTTATTGTAGCATCTCCACCCCTGCATAACCATCTTCATTTGTCTATGATTTTATCAGTTCATTATAGCAACACCACCCCTGCATAACCATCTTCAGTTGTCTATTATTTTATAATTTTTTTGTCCTGTTTAAAATATAAGTTAATATTGTCATAACACATAAAATATTTGCACAATACAACTATACAATAAAGCAAAATAAATAAATAAAACCTATATACAGTTCTGTGTTTAACTTTTCATAGGAAATATTAGATATTTATTATTTTTTAATTGGTCTGATAATGTTAAGAATTATAATAAATAAAAATAAAATCTGTAGCATTAAGCCCTTTGTTTCTGATTATTTCCACTTTTAGAAACAAAAGTTTTAAAGGCTGCAAACCAGTTGTAAAGCTGTTGTTGTGGTTTTTAAAAATATATATTATGAAGTGAAAAGTCTGTGTTGATGTTTAGACGTTTTCCATCATAACCTTCTTCTCGTGCCTAGTTAAGAGAAGGAAGAAAGTTCGGCATTCTTAAGAATAAGGTGTCACTTATGATGGTGTAGAAAAGGTTACATCTCTTTGTGGGTAAAGCTTTGGCTACGAGAAGGTACCAAGAATCTGTAAGAAATAGACACGACACTCTCTGATCCTGAAATCGCTTTTTATTAATATATTTATATATATATATATATATATATATATATATATATATATATATATATATATATATATATATATATATATATATATATATATATATAGACACAACATGCAAATCTATTTATGTTGAACTACATACAATACATATTACAATACTTATTAAATAGTTCTTCCACAATCTACTATTTCATTTGTCCATTCATTTTTCTGCATTTTTGAATACAAGTGATTTAAATATTCAAAGAGCCTAAAATTCAATAACTGTAATAAATGTATTTTATTCTATATAATGTAAGGTAACGACCTAAAAAGATCTGTGTATCATACTTATTATTTAAAGAATGTATATTTATTCTCAATTAAATTATAACATGAAGCTAGTAATTATTTCAAACAAATACTAATGAACATCGAAGCTGTAAAATATTTCATTACATTATGATTGTGGAAGTAGGAAACTCAATAATATTACATTATAAATACAATGAACATCAATTCAGTAAAATATTAAATCAGTAAAATATTACATATTAGAAAAGAGAACTTACTATTACATTATATTGATGAAATAACAAAAATAGTTCAGAAGAATATTACAACATACTATAAATCTTTAACTTTTAAAAGCGAGTATAAAACATAATTTTCTTACCTGTAAGAAATAGACACGACACCCTCTGATCCTGAAATCTCACTGAGACCAAAGCAGCTCAGAGTTTTTTTTTAGAAGCTGCTGATCATCAGTATCCCACGTTTTCATTCAAGGTCAGAGAAGTCTGTCTAATGAACTATGCCTATGTTCCAAAAATAGTCACGCGTGTTTCTTGCGTGATAGTCAAAGACAGTTTTAACTTTATATCAAGTTTAGGTGGGGAGATAGAGTGTGTATGTGTGGTCAGTGATTTTCTTAAGTGACGACCTTTTGGATCATACATTGTCCATAACCCTCTTAATTGTAAGTGGTCATTCACATTCCGAACTTTTAAGCTCAACTAATTTCACAACGCAATTAATAAGGTTTTATTTATTGAATTGTGAGATAGCACGTTATTCGTGGCTTCTATCCGATGTTGAACTATTGAACCGGCTTATTAATTAGGCTTTTTCCATTACCAAGGAAAGCTGATAAAACAAGAATAATCTTTAATCTGAATTTATTTCAATGTCCTATTATATTCAGGATATGAATTATTGATTGGGCCATGCTTTTCCTACAATCCAAATTAATATTATACCATTCCCCCAAATTCGCAGGTTTTTGTCTTTCAATAACTTATAAATTTCAATATATTCTACACAAGTTACTATTATCGTTTCTTTCTTTTAAAATTTATATATAGATATA